GAGGAGGCCGAGCGGTCCCATACCGTCCCTGGGTGCGTGCTTGAAATGGGGTTCCGCGATGCGGATTGCTGTTGTTTGTCATCGCGATCTGCCCCGCGACGCACCCGCGAACCCCCCGCGACCCACCCGCGATCCACTGGCTGTGGAGAACGCAGTTGTGTGCCCCTGCCCACGCGCCCTCTCATTCTTGCCCGCATCTGCGGGGGATTCATCAGTTTCAGGAGGAGGAAGAGGAGGGGGAGGAGCAGCAGGAGGAGGAGGAGGAGGAGGAGGAGGAAGAGGAATTAAAGCAAGGAGTTGAGTGGGAGGGGAACGGCGAGGAGGAGGAGAGGGGGAAAAAGGGGGATGAGGATAAACGAGGGAGGGGGGGGGGAGGATCTGGGGAAGGGGGAGGGAGGGTGCGGAAGGAGGAGGAGGCAGCGGAGGAGGGGTGGGGAAGAAGGAGGAGGGGAGGACAATTGTTTGTGGTCCTGCATCTCGCGCGGGATCGTCCGAAGGCGCCCTGTGACGGCCGTGAAGGGGGGGGAGGAGCCAGTCCAGGAGAAGGGCCAGGGCGACGAGCAGGAGGAAGACGACGAGGAACAGCAGCAGCAACAGCAGCAGCATCAGCCTGAGGGCTTCCCAGGCTCCACAGTTGCATGGAGCAGCCAAGAGATGGGACGCGCAGGGACATACTAATACTACATGTCCTCCTGGGAGGCGCGCGTCCGACCCGAACGTATAGTATACCCATCTTGTAGTGCGTCGTTTCCCGAGCGGTGTGGCCAGAAAGCACCCGCCACGACGCATGCACTATAAGATTTCTCGGTGCGCGCGTCGCCCCTGGGGGGGGGGGGGGGGGGGGGGGGGGGGGGGCGACGCACATACAGCATAAGTATGTTGGGGTGACGCCGAAAGAGAGGACGAGGGCAAGCCCAAACATCCGCCGAGCGCGGCCCCGATAGGTCCCGTCCGCTCTCGGGGGCGACTGTTTGGCCCCGTGGCCCGACGATGGGCGCCAGGGGCTCGCATCAGAGGAAATCACCCAGACTGAAAAAACAATCATCTAGTCGGATATCTGTGAGGAGGAGGAGGAGGAGGAGGAGGAGGAGGAGGAGGAGGAGGAGGAGGAGGGAGGAGGAGGAGCTGGTGGAGGAGCGTGATTTCAAGAGGGAGCTGGTGAAGGCTACGACCTTCTCAACATTCTACTCTCCTCCTTTTCCCGTTCACGGGTAGAGCGTTTGAATCCTTATGAAGCGAGCGAGCGAGCGAGGAAGCGAGGAGGAGGAGGCGGAGGAGGAGGAGAAGGAGGATGGAGGAAGACGAGGAGGAGGAGGCGGAGGATGAGAACGACGTGGGGGTGGGCCCAGCCCCGAAAGCCTGCCACGCCGCCACCTCCTCCTCCAGCCGGCGGGCGGCCTGCTCCCACCGCTGGGCATCCCGGAGCCGCGCCTGCTCGTGCCGCGGGGAGCGGGTCATCGGGCAGATCGTGCCGAAGAGCAGGCTCGAACATGAGAGAGAGAGAGAGGAGTGGGATTACGGGGAAGAGGGTAGTGTTGATGATGATGGTGATGATGATGATGAGGAGGAGCAGGAGGATTATGATGATTATGATGATGATGATGATGATGATGATGATGATGATGATGATGTTGACGAGGATGATGATGCTGATGGTGCTGATGGTGCTGATGATGGTGATGCTGCTGATGATGATGATGATGATGATGCTTCTGATGATGGTGTTGATGATGCTGATGCTGATGATGCTGATGTTGATGCTGCTGATGATGATGATGTTGCTACCGATGATGATGACGATGCTGATGCTGATGCTGATGATGATGATGATGATGATGATGATGATGATGCTGATGATGATTCTGATGATGATGTTGATGACGATGATGATGCTGATGCTGCTGATGATGGTCTTGAGCTCTCATTTCAGAATGGTAATTATTGGTGGTCCCCCCTCAGGTGCCATATTGTGCATTTTTGAATTGGAATGCCCCTCCCGGGGGTTGCACCTTGTTTGCTACCGAGGAAAATCTTGGGCCTCAGACTGCGCTATTGGCCCCACTTCATACAAGTAGCAGCGGCTCCCGCCTGATACTTCCCCACATCTTATTCAGAATCGCGCTCTCGCGCGGGACGTCCTCGCGAGTTGCCTAAGAACAACGCTCTTGCCTGGGACTTCCACGACGCTCAGGAATCACGCTCTCGGTCTGGGCTTCCTCACGATTTGCTTGCAAATCGCGCTGTCGCTGGAGACTTCCTCGCGATTCGTGCAGGCCTGGCGGGCGCTTCAACGACCCGCCCGCTCGACCTGCCGTCTGCGCCCGCCCGCCCGCCCCGCCCGTTAGGGTCCGACCGCCCGACCCGCCCGTCTGGTTTTGCCGCTTACTTTTCTGCTCCTGACCGCCCCTCTTGCTAATTTCTCTCGTGCTCCAACATTCTTCCTCCCTTCGTCCCTTCCCTTCCCGCACTCCTCTCCTCCCCGCTATCGGGTTCTTCCTGTCTCCTTACCTTTTCCTGTATTAGGAGCCACTACACGTCGCAGGTAAGGAGGATATGCCCCAAGGGGGATACGATCCAAAACGAAGAGGGCGGATATCGAGGGCTTGGGATATACATGTTTGTTGACGCGCGGGCAGATACAAGAGTGAACAATGTTCAGCCGAATGTTGTTGAACTCTCATTTCTGAAGAATGATGAACAATTGTTGTTTATCACCCCCCTCTGATGCACCTGGTGTTTTTCAATTGAAGTGCCCCTCCTGGGCTTTTTTTTGTTTGTTTTCCCTCTCTTCTCTCTTTCTTATGCAAAAAAGCAAAAGCACAAACGAGGGAAAACATTGGGCCTCAAGCTGCGCCCCAGTCTACAACAATAGTAACGGCTCCCGCCAGATGTTTCCTCACATCTTATTGTGAAATCGAGCTTTCGCTAGAGACCTCCTTGCACTGTATACAGGTCTCGCTCTCTCGCCTGAGACTTCCTTCCAACTTATTCACGAATCGCCCTCTCGGCGCTCTGGAGTCGCGCTCTCGCTCCTCCTGCCTCCCTTTCTCAACTCCCTTCTTCCTCGCTCTCTTCCTTTCCCCCGGTTTTAGGGGCTGCGCCGATTAGACGTGGCAGGGAAGGAATCCATCTATCTATCTATATGTCTATATATATATATATATATATACATTTACATATCTATATACATACACATACATACCATCGCGCGCGCTTCGCGCGCGCTCAAATTCTAGCTAGGCTTGATCGGGTAGCTCATGTAATATCATTTTGGTCGCTTCTTGCGTCCAGGGACTCCCTTGGAGGCCCTGCGCAAGCCTGGAAATCGTATAGAAGGGGAAATGCGGAAACGCAGAAATCATTCATTTCCTTCAGGTATTCAATGATTTGGGGCCCTCAAAGGCTTCCAGGGTATTTTTTGGGGAGGTGAGGGGGGTCTAAATTGTGGTCTGTTGTGCAAGAGTAGACCGGGGGCCAAACTAGGAAAAAAAAGGAACTGTGGGATTTCCATTTTTTTCCAGTTCCTTGGCGCTGTTCGGCGCTGTTTTTGGTTTGTGCCTCGCGGGTTTTGTTAGCCGGGCCCCGCAGGGGTGTGGCATTTTGAGGACCCCCTGGGGCTTCTGGAGGCCTCCTGGAGGCCTGGAGAGCCGTCGGAAGGGTGTCTCGGGCTGCGCGGGAGCGTGTTGGGCCGTTCTTTACGTTCTGGGGGATCCTTGGGGTCGTCATGGGCTGTCATTCGGCGTCTTGGGGTTTCCCTCCGGGAAGCCAGGAGGCGCGGTACCCGCCAGATGTCAGGGGATGTGTGGGACCCCCGAGTAGGAGTCCCACTTTGAAAAAAAAGGAATTCAGAGAATTGTTCAAAATCCTCGATCTTCGAGGGTTGGAAGCGGGAAAGCGTGAGAAGGCGAAAAACATTAGAAAAACCATGGGAAATCAACGATTTTACCCTCTTTGGGCTCTCTCGGGGCGGCTCTCTCTTGGGCTGTTCTTGGAGCCTCGTCGGGGTCTTTTTGGGGCCTCTCAGGGATCGGGGGTGTGTTGGGGGCCTCTGGGGGGTCCCGGAGGCCTCTCGGAGGTCTCTGGAAGCCTCCTGCTCCCGCTCTTGGGCCCATCTTGGGCCTGTTCTGGGGTGGTCTGGGGCTGTCCTGGGCGCCTCTTCGGCAGTCTTGGAGCCTTCTAGGCCCGTCTTGGGGCCGTCCTGAGGGTCTCTTGGGTGGTCTTGGGGCGGTCTTGGGAACCTCTTCGGTGCTCTTGGACCGTTTGAAGCTCGAAAACGCAAGAAGACACAAATAGGAAACAAACATATGAAACTCGACGATTTTGGCCTCTTCGGGCTATCCCGGGACGCCTCTCGGACCTCTCTTGGGATCTCTTGGAGGTTACCTGGGAGCCTCGAGAGCCGTCGGAAGGCTGACTTGGGCTGCTTGGGAGCGTCTTGGACCATCCTTTCGCAGTCTGGGCGCTCCTGGGGGTCGTCTTGGGCCCTCCTGGAGCGCTGTGGAGGCTCCCCGGAACGCCCGGGGGAGCGGTACTGGGAGCGTCCCCCAGATGTGGCATGGAGGTGTGGCACTCGGGGCCAGGGGGTGGGGGCGGTATTCATTTAGATTTGATATATTTATATATATACATATGTATATATACACATATATATATAGAGGTATATGTATATGTATAGGTATAGGTATAGGTATAGGTATATGTATATGTATCCATGTATGTATGTATGTATGTATGTATGTATGTATGTATGTATATATATATACATACACACATATACATATATATATATATATACACATGTGGATACATACCTCCCAAAGGGGTTGCGACCAAATGCGAAGAGAGCGGGTATCGAATAGCAGGTGAGGATGAAAAAAAGGGGAGGAGGCGGGAGAAGGAAATGAGACTGGACATGCCAGAACAAGGAGGGGGTAGGGCAGATAAGAGACGGGACGCGGTGGGGAGCAACATGGAGACACATCATGGGGAAGAGGGAAAAAGAACAGGCGGTAATTTCGTTCCAAGAGCACGGGCTAATTTTCGATGAATGTGGCCGGCCCAACGAGCCTCCGGCGTGCAAGACCTGCACAACCCGGCGACGTAGCACGCCACGTTGCCCTCCTGCTGGTCTGTCTCATGGCCCTCTTGGGGTTCGTCTTGGCTCGTCTTGGGGCCCCTTGTCGGCGGCGCGCCCAGGGGGGAAGTGAGAAGGGGCGGGCCTTCTCAGAAGGCTCGGAAGTCCCCCGGCCTTCTGAGAAGTTTTGTGAGTTTTCCCCGAAGACAGAAAAAACTTCTCAGAAGGCGCGAGGGCTTCTGAGAAGTTCCGCCGCCTTCTGAGAAGGCCTTCTCCTTCTCACTTCCCCCCTGCGCTCGCCGCCGATCTTGGGGACCCTGGTGGGGCCCTCTTTGGCTACGGCTGGGAACTTGTGTTTAGCGTGTCGCGGCGGCGGCCCCGGCGATGCGCTAATGCCCTGCAAGCGGACAGCGTGTCGCTCCACTTCGTGGGGCGGGAGGCTGGGCAATGCTCGGATGCTAACGACGGGGGACTGGGGCGTCGTTGGCGTGTCGCGCCGAAGCGTGTCGGGCCAGAACCAGCGGGACGACACGCTAAGCAATAGGTCCCGCCCGCAGGGGCCTTTAGGGGAGCCTGGTGGGGCCCTCTATGGCTATCTTGAGGCGATCTTGAGACCCCCTGGGGCAACGTTGGGTCGAACGGCCAGCGAAACCCAACATATTGGAGCAGGAACTTCTGGGCTTGTTTTGGCAGTCTGGGGTCTTTTTTCGGGATTGCATTTGGGGAGTCTGGGTTCGTCTTGGAGGTCTGTTAAGGTTCTCTTGGGGACCACTTCCTCCCCTCTCTCTTCTCTCTCTCTTTTTTTTTTTTTTTTTTTTTTTTTTTTTTTTTTTTTTCTCTCTCTCTCTCTCTCTCTCTCTCTCTCTCTCCCCATCACTTCTTCCCTCCTCACCTCCTCCCAACCCCTTTCCTCTTTCCTCCCCTCTTCTATCCCCTTTACTCTCTTCCCTCCTCCCATTCCCCCACCCGCCACCCAAGCCTCTCCCCCTCCTCTCCTCCCCTCTCCTTTCCCCTGCCACCCTCTACAACTACTCAAGATGCCTACTACTCTCCCCTGTCTCCCCTGACTTCGTGCTGAAATTGTCCCGCCCTCTCCGCGGGTCTTGTTGCTGCAGGGTTTCATTAGTTTATGCTATGGTGTGTGAGAAGGGAGAGAGAGCGAGAGAGAGAGAGAGAGAGGGAGAGCGAGAGAGATACACATATAAAGAAAGAGAGAGAGAGAGAGAGAAAGAGAAAGAGAAAGAGAGAGAGAGAGAGAGGGAGAGCGATCCATATATCTATACATGTATATAAAAATATATGTATATATGTATATATATATATGTGTATGTATGTATGTGTGTATATATATATGAGAGAGAGAGAGAGAGAGAGAGAGAGAACGCGCGATGTTTTTCGGTATTTCAAGCCGGTGCTCGCTCTCGCCCCCGTGCGGGCCACTTTGCTGGATCCGAGTCCTTCCTCATCGTTGTCTCCCCACTCCCTTGCCCTCCTCCGCCTTCCACTGGTCCTGCGGCTGCTGTTTTTCCTCTCGTTGTCGTCGTCGTCGTCGTTCTCCTCTTCCTCCTCCTCCTCCTCCTCCTCCTCCTCCTCCTCCCCTTCCTCCTGCTCATCCTCAATTTCGTCCGCCACCTCCTTCTCTTCATTTTTCTCATCCTCTCTTCTCCGTTCTCCTTCTCCTCCTTCTCTTCCTCCTCCTCCTCCTCCTCCTCCTCCTCCTCCTCCTCCTCCTCCTCCTCTTGCTCATCCTCAATTTCGTCCGCCACCTCCTCCTCTTCATTTCTCTCCTCCTCTCTTCTCAGTTCTCCTCCTCCTCCTCCACTGTGCACAAACCCCCTTGACTGATTGCGCACACGGAGATGATGGTGTCCTTTTGGGGGTACCAGGTCCGCCACGGCAACCGTCGGCGGATAGAACCACATTCAGCGCAATGGTAAGGGATGAATGGGAGGTGCAGGAAGTCAGATATTGCGCGGGCTCAACTAGCTTGCCTCACCACGCCTCTCTCCTCGTGCTCCTTCCCTTCCCTCTCCCCTTCGCCCTTCTCTTCTCGCGTTCCGCCACCCGCCCGCGCCTGCAGCGCACAACGCTCGGCGAGGACGGCATCGTACCGCCTCGGTACCCCCTCCTCCCCTCTTGGGGCGTGCTAAGATAAGAGCCGAGACACCCTCTGATACGATCTTTTGAATACGCGGCCCCAAGAGGCCCCGACCCTGTCCCCTGGGCCTATTTCTTGCCCGGGTCCGTTTTTGATGGCTCCTGGGCCTGGTACAGGCCCCAGAGGCTCAAACCAAGGAGAACCTTCCTTGTGAGTCGCCAAAGCAAGGAAAAAACCTCCAAATCAAGGAAGAACCTCCAAATCAAGGAAAAACTCACAAAAATCAACGACAAGCCTCCAAACATCGGAGGAGTAGGAGGAGGAAGAGGAGGAGGGGGGGAGTAGGAGGAGGAGGAGTAGGAGGGGGGGAAAGGAGGAGCAGGAGGGGAGGAGGAGGGGAGGAGGAGGAGAGGAGAAGAAAAGGAGGGGTAGGGGGGAGGAGGAGAAGAGGAGGAGGAAGAAAAGGAGGAGGAGGGGAGGAGGAGGAGGACACACCTCCAGGCGGAGCAGCTCAGGCCGTCAGAGATTTGGCAGCGGGGCGCCGCCCCGAGCGGCTTTCAGGCGACCAGGCGGGCCCCTGCTCGGGCCGCGGAGGCCCCGACCACTTCTCGCGTCCCTGGGTCTGGCTTTGCATCTCCTCCTCCTCCTCCTCCTCCTCCTCTTCCTCCTCCTCCTCCTCCTCCCTCCTCCTCCTCCTCCTCCTCCTCCTCCTCCTCCTCCTCCTCCTCCTCCTCCTCCTCCTCCTCCTCCTCCCTCCTCCTCCTCCTCCTCCTCCTCCTCCTCCGCCTCCTCCTCCTCCTCCTCCTCCTCCTCCTCCCTTCCTCCTCCCCTGGATCATCTTTGCCGGTCCTGAGGCCTGGCGAGGGCCCCGAGAGGCCGAAGACCGGAACACCTCCGACTTGCTTTTCTGAACGTTGGCCAGGCGTGGGCCCCAGCGTGTGCAAGCTACGTGGTGCAGTTCAGCGTGCACAGCTTGAACTTACTAACTCCACTGCTCGCGCAAGCACTCCACCCGCCCGCCCACAGCTTGGTTTGCAAAACCCACGCGGCGGCGACTGCGATGCCTGTGTGGCGCTGGCTGGCGCATCGCTGCGGCCGTGCTGGCGCGCGCGCGCTCGCGCGCAGAGCGGTCGGCACGACTGACGCGGCCGAGGTGGCGCTGACCGCTGGGGACGTCCCAGCGCGTCCCGCAGGTTGCGCTGACGCGCGGGCACATCAGTGCGAGTCGATGGCTCGGGCGTGCTCGGTTATCAAAGTGACGTCGACAAAGGCCGACACGATTATGCTAGTAGCGATGATGGTGGCGATGGCGACGATGACGATGTCCAGGCCAATGACGGCGCCGACGCTGGTCACGCCGATGACGACGGTGATGGTGATGATGATGGTGATGGTGACGGTGATGGTAATGACGATGACGATGACGATGACGACGATGACGATGATGATGCTGATGATGCTGATGCTGCTGATGCTGATGCTGCTGCTGATGATGATGATGATGCCCACGTGTCGGTGACGAATTATGTGGAAGGATTTTGACATGCGCGCGCGGCCGACGCGCGCGGGTAGCCCGCATGATATTATTTGGCAGGGATCGTGCACCCGAGCAAGCGCGCAAGGGTGTTAGAATGATTTCGGCATGCGCGCGCGGGAGGCCCGTTGACGAACATGTTGGAAACGTACGATGTTCATCAGGACTCGCCAGAGCGCGCTCAGATTTTATTGAAACATCATGTTGCGAAACCATATTGTCTTCATATGTTTTCGGGGAACCTCGATCTTGAAACCCTTACGAAACCAATGGCTTTGAATGATTTCGGCATGTGCGCGCGACGCCGCGCCCATGATGATTTTCTGATGTGTTGACAAAATGATTCTTGAAAGTTGATGATTTGTGATAAGCGAGTGTGCGAGCACAGTATTGTTTGACAGGGGTGAGGGGGGGTATCGACGAGGGGTCTGGCTGGGATGGTTATGGACTCATACTTGAAGCGCACGGGTGGGCAGAACCATCTGTAGATTATTCTTTCCCAGGGGATGGCGATCCTTCTCCGTGTGCGTGGTAGATCCCAGCTCCTTCCTCGCAGGGAAACTCTACGCGGTGCAGGATCAGGGCGGCAACGGAGCGGCAACGGGCGGCAGCGCGGCGAGACCTCGCTGGACCCACCCCGCGCACGAGGCAGCAGCGACAGAAGAAGAACAAACGCCATAAGCATTAGCTTTTTTGGGGGGAAACAAACCTACCTCGCTTTTGACCACCCTCGCTTCCAAGAGATACCAAACGATGCCAAATTGCAGCCTGTACTGCTCTCGCCGCTTGAAGAGGAGGCGCGTGGTATGGCTTGGTTTTGCCTGGAAGCGAAAGCGGGGTAGGTAATTTGCGCTCTAGCTTTTGGCGCTCCGCGCGGATTTCTTGGATCCCTCCCATGGCGCGCGGAGCGCGCCAAGAGCGGCGCCGGAAGCGCTGCGGCGGGGGCCCAGCGCGGATCCAAGAAGTCCGCGCGGAGCGCCGATAGTTTATGTTTCTGGCGTCGTGTCTCCTTCGAAACGAGGCGGCAACGGGCGGCAACACGGCGAAACCTCGCGAAGCCCAGCCTGGGGCAAACGCCGTTTAGGGAACGTTTGACCGCCAAGCTGTGCGCCCTCCTCCCGCGTCGGGCCGCAGCCGGAGGGTGCCGAGGGTGCGGGCGCGGCCGCCTTGCCGAAAGGCCGCGGCCCCCAGGAGGAGGATGAGGAGGAGGAGGAGGAGGAAGACGATGAGGATGAGGATGAGCATGAGGATGACGATGATGATGATGAGGATGAGGAGGAGGAGGAGGAGGAGGAGGAGGGGGAGGAGGAGAATGAGGAGATGGAGGAGGATATGTAGGATATGTAGGAGGAGGCGGAGATGAGGCGGAGGAGGCGGAGGAGGACGAGGAGGAGGACGAGGATGAGGAGGAGGAGGAGGAGGAGGAGGAGGAGGAGGAGGAGGAGGAGGAGGAGGAGGAAGAGCGAGTGTCGGAGTCGCGGGTTCAACCACTTGCGGCCGACGCAGGCTGCGCTCGGACCTCCCACCTCCGTGTCGAAGGCGGTGGCGGTGATGATGACGTCGTCGTGGCCGTCGTGCGGGATGACATCGGAGAAGCAGGCGGCCTCGTCTCCGAGGAGCACGGGCTCGGCAGGCAGGGAGACGCACCCGCCATTCGTGCCCAGCAGTCCGCTGGCCAGGTCGTGAACGGGGGTCGCCGTCTCGGTGACAGCATCATGGGCAGGATGGTGCCCTGCTGGTCGGAGGACGAATGGCGGAAGAGGCTGCTCGGAAACGAGCTCGGCGCTGGCGTTGTCGAAGGTGTTGAAGCAGACGTTGTATCTGGCGAGCTGGGTGACATGGGCGGTGTCTGGCTTCTCGTCATCGGGCATCAGCATTACATCCGCTGCCGCATAGTCGAAGCCCACCTGTACACGGTGGTCCTCGTTGGCGCCGCGTGCCACCATTTCGACGATAGGCTGCCCCTCTGCATGTGCCAGACCACGCCGACAGATGACCCACAATCGCAGAAGGGGAAGCTGCCCCTGATAAGCCGCCCTTCGTTTGGACTGCTATTCTCGCTGTGTTTGCTTGGAAACTTTGTCGGCCCCCGTGGTGCAAAGGGCCAGCAGCGCCAGACATCTGAGTATTGAAGCGGTGCGCCACTCGCCCGCGGGATAGCGAAGCGCCTTCGCCAAGGCGACCGCCTTCGCGACCCCAGCTGCGCCTCGCTTGATTTCAAGTGCAAAGCGGCGAGCAAGGCCCCGACTGTGCAACTCCCCCGTCGCCTGAGCCCACCTTCGCATAGACAAGCCAAGGCGTGATACCAGTGCGCGCCTCGTGGGGATCGACGTTCGCGGGAGGGTTGCTGGAGAAGATGTTGGGTTGCGGGTCCCTGTCGAAATCGGCCAAGCGAGCAATGTCCACCGCCGAATGCCCAGCCGCTGAATTCGCAAGCCTTTGATTGATGCGAGAGATGTCATTATGAAACCGTTGAGCCGAATCCTCCAACCGCTGCTGACGGCGCTGAAGATCAGAGATGTCAGTGTCAAGACCGTCGACACGCCGAACCGTGGGAGCAAACTGTTCCTGCAGCTGGGACGTGATGGAGCCTTGCGCCTCCTGCGCGGTAGGTGAGACCACTTCGTGATGTTCATGGATTCATGGATACTTGTCGTAGTGTGAACCTGGATCTGAGTAGCCACCGCTTGTTTGAGGTAGGAGCCCCACGATGTAACCTGCAAGGCATGAGCAGCTCCAGCGCCACCAGCGTGAAGACCAGGAGCGCCCCCATGAGTATAGAAGAAGGAGAAACGCCATAGACATAAACTTTTGGCGCCCCGCGCGGTTTTCTTGGATCTGCGCTAGATCCCCCTCCCTGGCGCGCGGAGCGCGCCAGGGGCGGCGTCAGAGGCGCCGCTGGGGAGGCCCAGCGCGGATCCAAGAAATCCGCGCGGAGCGCCAACAGTTTATGTTGATGGCGTTGTTTTGTCTTCTTTGAGAGTAGCAGCCGATCTAGCAGATGCCGTCGCATCTGGTGCAAGTGCTGCGCCGCCCACTGCGTGACCTGACCTGCCAGAGGCACGGCATGGGCGGCCCGTGCGGGCGGAGCGGCCGGTCCAGAAGCGCCAGCAGCAGCCCATGGGTCAGGAGGAAAATGCCGGTGGGCAGCCGTGAACTCCTGCAATGGGAGCACGGGTGCCTGCGACGGCAGAGTGCCCGCGCGCTCCAGCTCGAAAGCGGCAACATCACACACACACACCCCTATATATAGAGAGAGAGAGAGAGAGAGAGAGAGAGAGAGAGAGAGAGAGGAAGAGAGAGAGAGAGAGAGAGAGAGAAAGAGAGAAAAAGAGAGAGAGAGAGAGAGAGACAGCAAGCACCGCCCCAACACCGCCACGTCAGACACCATCCCGCGCAACGCGTGCACGCTGCCGTTGGGGCGGAAGATGCCGTGGCTCAGCGGTGGCAGAGCGAGCCGCGCCCCAGCGATGCCGAAGAAC